AGACGCGCTGCTCATAGATATAGACCAGAGAATACGCGTGTGTGTATAGCTCAGTTAATAGGACGTACTCTTCTTAATAAAATGAGGAGAACCTCTATATGTCGTTTATTGGGTTGGGTTTGCTTTGTTGGGCCCAAGCCTTACTTGAAGGTGTTTGGGCCTCGGTGATATTAGTCTTCGATATTGGGCTCGTAGCCCAGTAGGTAAAGTAATTGTAGGCCCATTGGGTTGGCCCAATTAGGCATATCAATATATATATATATATATATATATATATATATATATATATATATATATATATATATATATATATATATATATATATATATATATGGTTAAATTACAAAACCCCCTTCTTGTTTGGGTAATTACGAAAAAAAAAAACCTCAACTATAAATCTTCTTACACGTCCACCCTTACAGTTTCAAATTTAGTGGAATCTTCGAGATTATATGGAATATTATCACTTTTGTAATTGTTTTATCCCATTCAAACTCCACATTTTGAAGCAAGATAATCGTAATATGTGTTTTTTGGCTTGTATTTATCAGAAACTGTATTTTTACACAAAACGAGTACAAACTAGAGCACATTCCACGAAATATAGATGATTATGTTGAATATAACACCATAAGGGTGGCGATGTAAGAAAAAAATTATAGTTGAGGGGTAGATGTAATTATCTAAACAAGGGGGTTTTTTTCGTAAATTAGCCATACCTCAGGGGTGGTTGTAATTTACCCTATATATTAAGACCCAACTTTGACAAGTTTTTTTTTTTCTGGTTTTGTTTTTTGACTTTTGAGTAGAGTTGAATCAAAGAACAAAAAGTGAGAAGGAAAATATAGAAAAATCAAAATAAAGAGTCTAGGAAATGAAAGCAAATCTTGAACCAACAATTTAAATCCCCAATAATACAAGAAATGCCGAAACACGAAGAAAGGTATAATAATAATGTAAATCAATTACTTAAAGCAAAAACAGAAACACTCTTTACTAATTCTTTCTTCTCAATTCAAGCATCCCAATATATAATATACTGGTTTACAATCAACCCCCAATCTGCAATCCAAAGATAACCTAAATCAATCAATCATTACCCAATTTCCTAATTGAAATTTCTATTCTAATTGAAAATTAGTTTTCGAAAGATGGTCCCGCGCTTTTCTTCGGCTTCACTTGTAAAACTCCCCCAAAATATATAATATAGATATATAAATATATATAATGCGGCGTTTCTTGAATTTATGCTTCAAAAATAGAGTCTTTAACAAAACCCCACCACACCTAGAGGTGCGTGCGAGTTTCAAGCTCCTTTTATTTTCTTGATGTTTATTTCAAGTGGGCAAATTTTGATTTTCCCGATAATTAGAATTATCGAAAAACCCCATTTGGTGTTTTATTTGATGTGATGTAATTAAGCTGTTTAAATTTGAGCTTTTTTTGTTGTCGGTTTTCAGACATCGTCGATAGATATAATGGAGAAGCCACCCACGAGCAATGCCCACGAAGAAGATACCCTTTATCCTCAGGTGAAAGACTTTGGATTCTTTTTTATTTATTTATATTTATTTTATTTTATTTTATTATTATTTGCTTTTTTTAAAGTAATAATAATGATGTTTTTGTTGATTTCTTCACCACTTCACTTCCGCCCCTTCATCTTCTTCTCATTCAATTTTCTTTTGTCTCGTTCAGAGTGAAAGTGATTTCTTTCCGGCCTGTAAAATGTGAACACAATGAAATATTGTAATTTGGGCCTATGTTCAGGGGTTTTTTTTGTAATTTATCCTAAATTCATTACCCTCCTGCATAATACATTCTTGCTTTGAAGTTCTTAGTGGATATTTTGTTGTTGTTATTGTTTTAGGGATTAGGAGCTAATATGGAAGCTCAGCCATCCACAAGCAATGCTGATATAATAAGTCTTCCGTCTGAGGTAATCAAAAAGTTTTCGATTTTCTCACTATTATTATTATTATTATTATTATTATTATTATTAGTCGTATATTTGCTCAACGCGTTTGTAAGTTTTATATTTCGCTGATGCGTGCCTCTTGTAATAGAGCAAATGCGACTCATTCGTCGTTTGTTCCGTATACTCTTTTGCCAATTTTGTGGTTTAGTGTTTATCCCCGGCTGCACCGTGTGATGTTTAAGGGGCTGACGTATATTTTCCGAAATGATAAACTTATCTCATTAGGCCTCGTTTGGTTGCCAAGATAAGATTAGCAACATTAAATTAATAATCTAATGAAACTCCATTATATTATTGGACCTTCGATGATTCAATAAAAAAAACATGTCTAGAACGCAAGATAAGGCACAATGACATAATATTTGCGGGTCGACCCGGCAAGTTATTGAGGATACCAAACATCAAACAAATTCCTATTATTTAGTTAATCATGGTTAATCTCCCCAACCAAACGGGGCCTTAGTATTTTTGAAATTTTGGGAATGAGGCCCGTATTTCCCTAACCAAGATTCCAGTTTTGGAACGAGGCCCGTATTTCATCTTCAAATACATTGAATTTTCTTTTAAATGATTGAACTTTCCGGGCTTTTAAACGTTACAAATTCATGGATTTTTTTAAGTTAAGCCTTCGAATTGCATCTTCTATTGTAAAGTTTTTTTTCGAGACATTACCAAATCGTTTCAACATTTAATTTTTTTTGAAAAATAATTAATCTTAATATTTACTCGTTACAAGAATTGTGTTCAATTACCATAGTACTGTAATGCTCGAACTAACTTTTCGAACATTTTTATCAGAGCCCAAATAACGAACCAATGGATTCTCACTACTCAAATAATATAATAATCAACCATGATTTTTCCGGAGGGCTTCATTTATGGCACCCCAATTCCTGCGAAGCGTTTCTTGTATCCCAAGAAACTACTCGCCCGAAAGGACTATCCGATAACTTAAGCGCCCCGTTCGCCGTTATTACAAAACGTAAACAACAATGGCAAGGACTCGAGCAAGACATCACCGACAGAGTTTCCCCGTTTTCCGTTTACAACATTTGTGCTTTTGTCGGAATATCGAGCGGCGCTTCCGGAAATCAAGAACATGTGCTGGCCACTTTGAAACTTGAATTCGAAGACAATTCAGTTAGATATCTATTCATCGGAAGGTACGTAATGAATTAATTTTCTCCATTCTTGATTATTTTATTCCGTAAAAAAAAAAAAAAACTATTTATTCAGAACTTGTGCTTCGACGGAGCATTGGGAGAAGGTCGAAGGTACATTTTCGTTGTCTGCTATGCCGAGAAGAGTTGTGTTTTATGTGGAAGGGCCTTCGCCCGGCGTTGATCTTCTCGTAAAATCTGTAGTGATTTCCTGCATTAGTTTCAGCCAGTGTGAGGTAATTATTTTTTGTGTGGCATTTCTGTAATTTTTTTGAAAAATTTAAAACAAACACGTTTTAGCGGCAAATCCCAAAATGTCTTTGTGGCTTCCTTAATCTTTTACATCAATTGACGATTGATTGTAAAATGATAATCTATGTGTCGTTTTACACCTTGGAACGAGTCTTAAGAATCTCAATAAATAGGTCTTGAATTTAGGAAAATAGATATATATAGATCAAAATACCCTTGTTTACTAATTAATGCGGAAAAGGTGTTGGAGTGTTAATAAGGGTATAATTGAAAAATATGTAATTAATGCAGCATTGGAATTGTAAAGTGACAAATAATATGGAACAAAACAAAAAAAATTCTTAAAAAAGATAGATATTGTGGAACAGAAAAAAGTGAGTAAGTTTTAGTAGTAATTAATTAATTGAATCATTAAAATTTATAATTTATTAATATATTTTTACAAACGATAAAATTTACATGTTTCCCACGCTCCCTTGTCCGATATTTTGTGAAATCATTTTGACAGAGTGATAAACAAACATGTGCTTTATCCGATGGCGAGGAAAACATAATACAAAATCCAAGATTTGACGACGGTCTGAATAATTGGTCGGGACGAGGTTGCAAGATTGCATTGCATGATACTATGTCGGATGGGAATATTCTTCCTGTATCCGGAAAGTTCTTTGGATCAACGGAAAATCGTACAGATTACTGGAACGGTATTCAGCAGGATATAACGGGACAAGTGAAACGGAAGCTTGCCTACGATTTTATTGCCACCGTTCGGATATTTGGTAATAACATCAGTGCTGCTAATGTTAAGGCTACCCTTTACATTCAAACAGCAGATCTTCGAGAACAGTACATAGGGGTTGCTAGGTAATTTCCTCATTCTTGGTGAAAATGTTTTTCGTAATCTTGAATTTTTTTTTTTTTTTTTTTTTTTTTTTTTTTAATTATGGATCATTTCTTTGAAGAACCCGATTTTTTCTTTTTATCGTAATTTTTCTTCGGTTATTCAGTGTGCAGGCGACTGACAAAGATTGGGTGCAGTTGAAAGGAAAATTTCTCGTAAACGGTTCTCCTTCGAGGGCAGTTATTTTTCTGGAGGGCCCACCACCGGGCACTGATATTCTCCTCGATAATTTAGTTGTAAAACATGCCGCCAAAGCCCCGCCAGCATCTCCACCAGTCGTCGAGGTAGTTTAAATAAGCGATTAACGTTTCAAATTGCACGCGATATATTTCAAGATTTCACATAATTCACCTCAATTAAATGGATTAAATAATTAGATCATAATTTGATGTTTGGTTAGTACAATAAGGCTCGTTTGGTTCATCAGATCAGATTGGCCAAGATAAGATTAAATAATCAAATGAAAACTCAATTGTTAAATAATATATGATAAAATAATATTTCCATGTCAACCCGGAAAATTATCGGGTTTACCAGACATCAAACGAAGTCCAGTTATTTAATTAATCACGGCTAATCACCCCAACCAAACAAGTCCTTACCTATTTATGCCGGTCTTAAAGAAAATAAAAAATGTGTATTGGGCCCTTGAGTAAATGTGTATTGGGCCCTCGTAACATCGAATAATTTTATCTTGACTAATCTTTCCTTTGGCTAGTGGCTACCAAACAAGGCCTTAAATGTTATACGATACGTCCATTTAAATTATTGATTTTACCAAATATCAAACAAAGTCCAATTATTTAGTTAATCATGTCTTATCTTTGAAAAAAATCTTATCTTGGCGAACCAAACAAGGCCTTAAATGTATTCCGATACTTCCATTTTTTTTTCATCGTTTTCTTTTAATTTTTAAAAATAAATTATTTTTAAATACAGAATGCTGCTTTCGGGGTCAACGTTATTGCTAACAGCAACCTCAACGATGGCACAAACGGTTGGTTCCCGTTAGGAAACTGCAATCTGAGTGTCGGAAACGGATCTCCGCATATTCTTCCTCCAATGGCCAAAGATTCCCTCGGGGCCCACGAGCCTTTAAGCGGTTCCTACATTCTTGTGACGAATCGGACACAAACGTGGATGGGTCCCGCTCAGATGATAACCGAGAAACTGAAGCTCTACTTGACGTATCAAGTTTCTGCATGGATACGAGTAGCCAATCACGCAAGCAAGCCTCAGAATATTAATATTGCTCTTGGCGTGGACGGTCAATGGGTCAACGGTGGCCAGATCGAATCGAGCGACGACAAGTGGCACGAAGTTGGTGGATCTTTCAGAATCGAGAAGCAGCCTACCAAGGTGATGGTTTATGTGCAGGGTCCAGAGGCTGGCGTTGATTTGATGGTTGCTGGTCTTCAAATATTTCCTGTTGACCGACGTGCGAGATTTCGACAGTTGAAAAAGGAAACCGATTTGGTAGGTTTTGCTAATTTTTAGTAATTACTCCCTCCGTTTGAAAATAACTGTCGAAATTCATTAAATTATAATGTGTACATGCTCGAGAATGCAGATACGCAAGCGCGATGTTATTTTGAAATTCTCCTCGTCCGATTCCGCCACACTCGTCGGCACCTCCGTCAAAATCCGACAAATACAAAACACCTTCCCGTTCGGAACATGCATTAACCGCTCGAACATAGACAACGAAGACATTGTCGATTTCTTCACGAAGAACTTCAATTGGTCCGTCTTCGAAAACGAGCTCAAATGGTACTGGACCGAACCCCAAAAGGGTAACCTCAACTACAAAGACGCCGACGATTTATTAAACCTCTGCGCGAACCACAACATTCAACTCCGCGGCCACTGCATCTTCTGGGAGGCGGAATCCTCCGTCCAATCATGGATACGCAATCTAAACAAGGACGATTTAACCTCGGCCGTTGAAAATCGTCTGGCGGGCCTTCTCGCTCGCTACAACGGGAAATTCAAGCACTACGACGTCAACAACGAAATGCTCCACGGGTCGTTCTATCAAGACCGCCTTGGAAAGGACATCCGGGCCCACATGTTCAAAACCGCATATCAACTGGACCCCACCGCCACTCTCTTCGTGAACGATTACAACATCGAGGACGGGTGCGATGCCAGGTCATCGCCGGAGAAGTACATCGAGCACATTCTCGATCTCCGGGCGCAGGGTGGTCCGGTTGGTGGAATAGGTGTACAAGGGCATATAAATAGCCCCGTGGGGCCCGTTGTTCGGTCGGCGCTCGACAAGTTGGGGGTGCTCGGACTTCCGATATGGTTCACGGAACTCGACGTCGCGTCGGATAACGAGTTTGTTCGGGCGGACGATTTGGAGGTTATGTTGAGGGAGAGTTTCGCTCATCCCGCGGTTGAAGGGGTGGTGTTGTGGGGGTTTTGGGAGTTGTTTATGAGTAGAGATAACGCGTATTTGGTGAACGCGGAGGGGGATTTGAACGAGGCCGGAAAAAGATACGTTGCTCTTAAGCAGGAGTGGTTGAGCCGCGCGCGTGGGCGAATAGACGAGCAAGGAAAGTTCGGGTTTAGAGGATTTTATGGAGTGTATGAAGTTGAAGTTGAAGTTGCTAATGATGTTTCTAAAGAGAAAATGGTTAAGGCTTCCTTTGTGGTTGATAAAGGAGAGGGGCCAATTGTGATATCTATAAATTTGTAGGGGTTTAAAAACTAATTAAAAAAAGAAACAAGGTTGGTGATGATTTGGCAAAATGTAATGTTTAATCAATGTTATTATGTTTAATTGTTGTATTATGTGATGTGTGGTGTGTAAGTGTTGGCATTTTGGATACTTAGCTTACAATTATTATCTAAAATTATATATGTGACATATAAACATGTACTCGTGTTGTTACAATGTTGCAGTTGTACTTTAATGGGTAAAAGTTTGTGAAAATTACACCGAGTGCCAAACCCTTTTATTCCAATTTGTGATTCAATCCCCAATTGAATTTTAGACCCCTATATTCCGATATTTTTTTTCCAAAATCAAAAAGTTACAGATCTGGAGTCAAAAGTTCAATTTTTAATTCACATATATTAAGAAATAAATATTAATAAATTAAAATCAAATTGCAAATGGGAACCATGAATTTATTTCAATTCCAATACAGAGAACATAAAAAAAAAATTGCGAATAAAAAACTTCGAAATTCTTAATGAGAATTATTGTTTCAAAATCAAGAATTTTGAATAGGAATCGGAGAAGCTAGAAATTTTTTTTCCAATTTCTAGCCTAAACACTAATGACATATATCATTGTGCTTCTCTACTAGTTATCTTACTTCAGGTGGTCCTCTAAGTTCTTTGCATGAGAAATTACGATAAACTTGATGATATGAATTAAGATAAATAATATGAAAAACATTTCATTATTAGATCAAACTAGTATCTCAGCCGTGCGATGCACGTAGATTAATTAAAAACATTAAAATGAGTTAATGTATAAAATCAACTAAGAATACAAAGGAACAAAAAAATAAAAATTCGTATCTTAATCAATCAATAAAAAATCTGCATATAGAATAAACTGACAACGTTCTAAAAACCATCCACATTCAAATGTAGCAAGTAACTCCCATACTGAAATCAAAGCATCGCACCAGTCTTGCACATGAATCTGATTGTTGTTAAATGAGACAATGAAACTGCAATCAGATATACGATAGGAGGACAAATAACTTGTTATTTTTCCACATTTTCAATATATAAGTTAAAGACATTACGTAGATAAAGAATACTTATATTTATATATATATATATATATATATATATATATATATATATATATATATATATATATATATATATATATATATATATATATATGTGTGTGTGTGTGTGTGTGTGTGTGTGTGTGTGTGAGAACATCAAAAAATTATACCAGCCGTTTCAAGTTGATGGCTTTTCAATGAGAGAATCTCAACGACTGAATTTCATTAGATTTAATCATGACAAGCTTAGGGTTGACATGTATAAGGGACTTCAGGAAATGATTGTCAAGGGTGACGGTGAAGGCACGTCTGCTGGAATGCGCATAGTTCTTCCATCGACATTTACAGACGGTCCCAGATTTATGTTTAACAACTACATGGACGCCCTCCAGATATGCAATTGGATTGGATTTCCATCGCTGTTTAGAACAATAACATGCACTCCCGAGTGGCCAGAAATACGAAGGGTGTTGAGAGATACGAATCTGCGTCCCGAAGATCCACTTGATATTCTTTGTCGCGTGTTCAAGATGACACTGGACAGTCTGATCTCAGATTTCAAAAAAGGGCACATTTTCGGACGGATAAGATCATGTAACTACCACATTCT